CTCCCGGCCTGGCTCCAGAGCTGCTCCAGCCCTCCCAGCATCTCCGGGGCCTCCTCTGGCCTCTCTCCAACAGCTCTGTGTCCTTCCTGTGCTGGGGACCCCAGAGCTGTTCCCAGCCCTGCAGGGGGGTCTCAGCAGAGCAGACCTTAAAACCTTAAATCCTTAAATCCCAAATCCAAAGCTGTTTTTGAGAACCAGCTCAGAGATCCAACCCATTTCACACAGGCTGCACCACCTGGTGGCATTCAAACTCTTGGCAGAGCAGTGACCTTCACACCTGTCCCCAGCCCCATCACCTTCCAGGAAACACTTCTAGGACAACCCCTCCTGCCTGTTCCCAGGAGCTCCAGGGGGGAAGGACTCCCAGTCACCTGGGAACACCAGGCTCGTGACCTGGCAGCGCGACGCTTGGCACCGGCCAAGAAACCAGGGGGATTTTATTGAAACCCAAACACTGGGGAAGAGCAGTACAAAAATAAATCAGTTCATATCAAAGCCCCTGATCCCAAGGTACCTGACATGAACATGTATAAAAATAATTTAAATATACAAAAATTCCATCTTCCAAGCACAACCCTCTGTACGCACGTAGGAATTTTACAGCATCCTTGGCCTGTGTTTCCACAAGCACCTTGGGCACGAAGATCCCTCTGGAATCCACAAATTACCCTTCCCACCAACTATTTTGGAAAGGCCACTGAGGAGGGAGCTCATCTTCCATGCCTGCAGGGAGGTGACATTTCTCTGCTCCTTGATGGGAGGGCAGATTTCTGACGTTCTCCACCACGTGGCTGAAGGCGCCGTCTCCAAAGTGGATTATTTGTGTTTACTCAAAATAAACCCAAGAGGTTCATTGGAGACATTTCACACCAATCAATCCCAAACCTGGAGTTATCTGCAGATGAGGGAACAGCTCACTGGTTACCCAAAGCCATGAGTCTCATCAGGGACCTGCCCTTGGTCTCTCGGCTCCCCTTGGTTGACCACCAGGCTTTGTGTCTCTCCAACGAGACACTAATTAGGCCAATTAAAAACCAGAGCCTGAAACCTACAGTGTCAACCTCCTGTCCCCTGGAGGACCTGGAGTTTGCTGATGCATCAGGTTGAGGAAGCAGCTTCCACAGATGACCTCTCACCAACGTTATTCCTTCTTGGACAGCTGAGCAGAGAAGATCCTGGAGATCCTTTTGGCTTCTTCCTCTGAGAGATCAGCCCTGGGCCTGGGCCGGGCAGGTCTCTGGTGCAGGATGAGCCCTGGGTGCCCTGGGCTGCTGCTCTGAGGAGAGAAGGAACAAGAGGTTGGAGCCACCTCTGCCTTGTGCCCCTTTTCTGGTGGCAGCAAAGCACAAGGTGGTGCGGAGTGAGGGAGGTTGGACACATGGAAAAATCCCTCAGGAGGTGTTTTGGATTTCTCACTGTGTCTCCTCAGAGGAGTTTTTCTCTCGTTCCACGCACTGAGAGGCAACTGTTTGGGGAAAAAACCCACCTGTTTGTTCCAACTGCTTGGGAAAAAAAATCAGAGAATCAGAGAATCATTAAGGTTGGAAAGGACCTCTGAGATCACCAAGTCCAACCACTAAACCAACACCACCATCTCCACTAAACCTCATCCCAAAGTGCCACGTCTACACGTTCTATGAAGACCTCCAGGGATGGTGACTCCACCACTGCCCTGGGCAGCCCGTTCCAACCACTCTGCCAGTAAATAAATCGTTCCTAATTTCCAATCTGAACCTCCCCTGGTGCAACCTGAGGCCATTTCCTCTTGTTCTCTCGCTTGTCACTTGGGAGCAGGGACATTTTAACATCATGAAGTATGATAAGACCAAGTGCAAGGTCCTGCACCTGGGTGGGGCATCCCAAGCACAACTACAGGTTGGGTGGAGAATGGATCAAAAACAGCCCTGAGGAGAAGGACCTGGGGGTGATGGTAGATAAGAAGCTCAACATGAGCTGGAGCCCAGAACCCACCCGTGTCCTGGGCTGTGTCACCAGCAGCATGAGCAGCAGGGCCAGGGAGGGGATTGTCCCCTCTGCTCTGCTCTGCTGAGACCCCCCTGCAGGGCTGGGAACAGCTCTGGGGTCCCAGCACAGGAAGGACACGGAGCTGTTGGAGAGAGGCCAGAGGAGGCCCTGGAGATGCTGGGAGGGCTGGAGCAGCTCTGGAGCCAGGCTGGGAGAGTTGGGGTGTTCAGCCTGGAGAAGAGAAGGCTCCAGGGAGAGCTGAGAG